CCTGCAGCCCTGAGTGAGGCAATTAAATCCTGGAGGATTTCGGACATGCTGTTCTCTGGTTTTTTTAATAGTCCAGCTCTGGGGAGTTTGCCACCGGGCAGGTAATTGTTGTGAATTCCCTTCTGAGCCACTCAATCTCCACCAGCATTACAGAGGGAGCCTAATGGAAACTCTGGGATTTGTGATGGAGAGGAGTCACATACAAATACCAGTTCCCTTTTCAACTTTTAGAGGAAACTGGCACCTTTTACAGGGAGCTAAACCCTGCCTGGGCGTGTTCAGGTGCGTTTAGGACTTCCAGAGGACTTGAGCAGAGAAGCATTTAGGGCACATCTCTGGCCTGCAATGCAGCACTCCACAGAAATACCTGAACTAGCGGTGAGAAAAACAGTCTGCAGAGCTGAAAGCATGATGGTGTTGCTACACTGATGCAGACGAGAGTCAGGGCTGGTTGACACCAACGGCACCTTCTTCATACAGGCATATCAGGTAGCAAATAGATGGATCTCGCACTGTGCTCTGCTGATAAACGCATGGGCCTGTTTGCAGCGAAGTTAGACATCGTGACGCGGCACTGCGTTAAGCAGTTCTGTAAAGACAATTGCAAGTGGTCGTATTAATCAGTTGGCGCCAATCACTCTATCAGCGTGCTACAGATTTTCTGGAGGTCTTCAGGTGCTTAAAGATGCTGTTGTGGGACCTCCAAAAGTCCACCGGCACCTGGCGCCTGGTTTTGATGGATCAGTTGGACGGGTACTATTGAAACTCTGCTAGATGACACTGTTTTAGAGTTCAAATGGCATTTAGCCGCTTTGCTTGTACTTCTGTTTGTAAAATGTTGGTAGAAGATGAACACAGAACTGTGCAAGTTAATGGTTTGAGAGACTCAGAAGCAAGCAGATCGTTCTACAATCTTCCCTTTATAAGCCCAGTATTATCATCACGAGTTTTCTTCTCTTAAAGTTCATTACAGGATTACTGAACGGCGCTTGCTCTTACCGCAGGTCATGAAACACACAAGTGGTGGTACACGCCAGCACGACATACTCCTGTCAGCCTGGGATAATGGGGGCAACGGCTAAGCCCCCGCTTCCCGCCGCCTGCACGGGCCGCAGGAGCTGCGCCGTCTCCCGCCGCCCCGCAACAACGGGAAGC